GCGTGTTTTTTTTTTTTTTGTTTTTTTTTTTGGGAGGGAAGAGGAGGAGAGATAATGCCATCAGCACATTAAAGAAGTTACCGAACACGAGGCCGGTCAGACAAAACGAAGAAAAAGCAAAAGTGTCTTTCCAAGTATATTGGGACAGTGGATGAAAATTTGGAAGAAGAGAAAAAAAAAACTTTCTTTTTCGAATTCCATTTAAAATGGTCGCAAAATGCGATGCAAGTGATGTGTGTGTGTGTGTGTTTTGGGGGGAGGGATGTAGGGTGGTAGAGGGGGAGAGTGAAATGTCACGCTAGCAAAAACACGAAGCTACAATGGAGAAAGGTAAGATACCATCGAGCAACTGAATGATTTTCATCCTAAGTATATGCTGCTGTATAATATATGTATACAGGCCTTTATATTTTAAGGCGACAGGATCGTGAAGAAAGAAAATGAGGAAAAAACAGATAAGAAGAAAAACAGGATGATTCTTCCAAGTATATTTGGACACTGGATGAGAATTTGGAAGAAGAGAGAAAAAAAAAAACACACAAAACTTTCTTTTTCGAATTCCATTAAAAATGGTCGCAAAATGCGATGCAAGTGATGTGTGTGTGTGTTTGGGTGGGGGGTGTTGGGTGGTAGAGGGGAAGAGCAAAAACACGAAGCCACGATGGAGAAAGGTAAGACACCATCGAGCAACTGAATGATTTTCATCCCAAGTATATGCTGGTGTATAATATATGTATATAGGCCTTTATATTTTAAAGCGACAGGATCGTTAAGAAAGAAAAGAAAAAAAAAAAAAAAGACCTTCAGATAAGAAGAAAAACAGGATGAATTAGATGAAAGTAGCAAACGACAACTTTCTTCGAATTCCGTTTAATATATTCCACGTATTCATGTGGAAAACGGAATGAGTACCACTGGACGTCAATTTTGACAAATTAATGCAGCTGAAAGTGTAATACTATATGCAGTTAAGAAAGATAAAATAAAGAAAAAAATATATAAAAGTGGTAATTTGAGACGGACAAGAAACTTGTATCGTCATAGAAATACAAATAAGATCAGATCCGAAGAAAAAGAACAAATTCGGGGGAGAGGTGCAGCATGTAATGGTTGCTGTTGGGGGTGAAAATGTGACATTGAATAGAAGACTTTTACCGTATTCGGTAGCCTCCTTCTTCAAACTTCATTTAATGAATTCGAGTGACAATGCAAATGGAAAAAGGCGAGAGAGAAAGAGAGCGTGTACAAAAGACGATGGTACAAATTTCTTCACCATTTTGCTGGAAATGGATTATAGTATTTGATGTCCCTCTTCTTCGAATTCCATTTAACGTACGTCAGATGTATGAGGTTTAAAGATGCAATGCAGTTTTTCAACTACCATCCAATCGAAAGAGAAAAGATTTTAATGGAATGCAACACTTATTTGTTACTGACAAAATAAAACATAGTGATAAAGACAGCAGATGTTAAAAGCCCGGTCCTCATCCAAAGCAAAAGAGATAAGTTTTCCACCCACGCAACGTGAATTGGAGAAAAATATGCGTGGCTACGATATCACAACCAGACAAGTCTACGGTGTTTTTGCTAGAAATACTAATGTTGCATTTATTAATCTGTCGAGAAAAGAAACTTGGATGATGCTAAAAATAGAAGAATGTTAATTTTCTCTTATTGTTTTTTTCTTAAACAGGCTGCAACCAAATGCACCCTTGAATCTTTGCAGCAAAGTTTGTTGATCGTCATCAAGAGTGTGCTAAAGAGAAGAGATTCAGTAAGATGGCGCCTTAAAAAAAAAAAACAACAACAAGAACAACAACGAACGAACGCTCGTCGAAGGTGGAAGTTGGGACTGTAAACGACGGATCGTTTTGGCCTACCAAAAAAAAAAAAAAAAGAATCAAGCAAAACAATAAAGAAGGACGGAAATGGAAATGCAACTGCTGTGATACACAGCCCATGCCACCTGACTACGGTGGCATTGAGTATGAGGATGAAACAGACGATTTCAAAAAACAAACAAAGAAGGTTGTCAGTTGATGGAGACTGCAGTGAGTGAAGAGGTGGAACCATGCATCAAATGCTATAGCATTTTGATAAATGCAGAAAAGAACGAAGGAATGCAATATAACAACATGTTTGGGTTACCCCAATACATGTATTTCAATTCTACATCAACATCCCGACCAAGGGATAAAGATTAATACATAATGCAATGTTTATGAAAATTTAACATTATATAAATAAATATATATAAATATATCTACATGGAAAGAAAGGAATTTGAACTCCTTAATGCAGTAAAAAAACAAAAAAGATGAAGATGATAACAGCGAGTCAAAAAAATTGAATGAAAGCAATCTCTAGGCCAAATGCAGTTTAAAACGAGACTACCAAATACAGGTATTTAAATTTTACATCAACACCCCGACCAAGGGATAAAGATTAATACATAATGCAATGTTTATGAAAATTTAACATTATATATAAATATATATATTTATATGTATATCTACATGGAAAGAAAGGAATTTTTAACTCCTTAATGCAGTTAAAAAAAAGGTGAAGATGCTAACAGCAAGTCAAAATTTGAATGCAATAAAATGGAATTTTTAGGCCAAATGCCAACAAAATTTAGGCCTTGTCAAAATGCAGTAAGTTTAAAAAGAGACTACCAAATACAGGTATTTAAATTGGACTAAAGGATAAAGATTAATACATAATTCAATTTTTATGAAAGTTTAACAAATATATATATATATGTATATCTACATGGAAGGAAAGGAATTTTAAACTCCTTAATGCAGTTTAAAAAAAAGTGAAGATGCTAACAGCGAGTCAAAATTTGAATGAAAGCAATCTTAATTAACTTTGAATGCAATAAAATGGAATGCCAAAAAAAAGACCCTGTCAAAGTGCAGTAAGTTTAAAAGGAGACTACAATATACAGGTATTTAAATTTTACATCACCATCCCGACTAAGAGATAAAGATTTATACATAATTCAATGTTTATGAAAGTTCAACAAATATATATATGCATATCTACATGGAAAGAAAGGAATTTGAATTCCTTAATACAACAATAATTAAATAAATAAAGATTCTAACAGCGAGTCAAAATTTGAATGAAAGCAATCTTAATTAACTTTGAATGCAAGAAAAAAAAAATAGGCCAAATGCCAGCAAAAGTTACACCTTGTCAAAGTTCCATCGAGAAGAAAGAAAACAGCAATCTGCGTCAATATCAAACGCTATGCAGCTTCCTGCGGACGATTTCTTGCTGAATGTGTTTAAGTGTTCAAATTCTGACGAAGGATTAAGGCAGTTCTGTTTGCATTGGCCTCGATTCAGCTCGTGTTCCATGTCAAATTAACTTTGAATGCAAGTAAAAAGAAATAGGCCAAATGCCAGCAAAAGTTACACCCTGTCAAAGTTCCATCGAGAAGAAAGATAACAGCAATCTGCGTCAACATCAAACGCTATGCAGTTTCCTTCAGACGATTTCCTGCTAACCGTGTTTAAGTGTGCAAATTCTGACGAAGGATTACAACAGTTCTGTTTGCATGGGCCTCGATTCAGCTCGTGTTCCATGTCACACTGCCATTCCAGCGAAGTCACAAGAATTCTGATTGAAAAAAAAAAAGAGAGAAAAAAACAAACATATATTTTAATATTTATCAAATTTATAATATTTATTTATTTTTGCTTACCTTTTATTATTTTTCATCTTACCAGCCGTTTGTGCAGGGAGAAGAAAATGATAGACTGATGAGAAGTCGATGGTACGAGTGAACAAGCTATGGGAAAAAAAAAACACACACACACATTTATTTGAATTGATTAAACGAATGATGGAGCCTACCGGTGGAGATGACTTTGAACTGTTTGATTTTTCATTTGAATCGGATGATATTCTACAGGCTGCAATGTCCGTTCTTAACGATCCCCCTTCCCCTCAAATGCCGAACTCGAACGCAATCGTGGACGTGAGAGGGGACATCGGCAAGTTACTCTCATTCTGCGGCGGCGGAGAAAACCCTAGCTACGCCGGAGCTTTCGGAGCATGTGTACATTCGTTGACCAGATCGGGAACGAGAAAATTTGACATGCCAACGCTACTATTTTGCAAGGATTCGCAAACCCAGCTTCCGTACGCCGTAGTCGGTTCCGTCAGCGAAGCATATCGCCTGATGGCAGCTTACCAAGAAAATGCGATCGTCGACGCATTTGGACATGCCAATCGGGCCGAGAGATTGAGGGTATGCGGGAGAAGGCAGACTTGAACGTACGTGCGTGAACGTACCCTCGCAAACGAGAACTTCGAACACGGTCGCCGACTTTGTGGATTGCGCACCGGCGGATCTACCCACACCGTTGATGGTGACCAGACCGAGCCAAGGGAAAACCGACAGATTCGATCTTGTCAAGCTGTTGGCGATGGCGTGCGTGCATTCGGACGACAGGTCGGAAGGCGTGCGACTGCGAACCGAAGACGGAACGGTTCGAAATGCAGCTTTGTTACCGTTCACGGTCATTAGACGCATGACGCAGAGACACGAAATCGTATTGGAATGGAGCGCAGAAGAAACTGATGCGTGCAAAAGGAGACTAACTGGATTGCCGTTTGGAAATACTTTGATAGGTATGTATTCCTCTTCTTTCCCCCACCCCCATCTCTGTCTCTTATACACATCTAGATGTGTATAAGAGACAGTCCTTTCCCCCTTCTTTCTCCCCCTTCTTTTTCCCTTCTTTTCCTATTTTTTTTTGTGTCTTAATTTTGTTTGTTTTTTTTGTTTTTGTTTTAAAGGTAACACTGTTCACCTGGTCGGATCCGCTAGTAAGGATAAACGCCACATGCAATGCGGCACGGATTTGCTCGACTGGTTCACGGAAGTCAACTTGAACGGTAGTCTGTCGACGATGGCAACGTCGGAGCGAGGCCGTTCGACCGTAACGTCGGTAGCTACGGTGATCAACGACGTAACCGACGTGGAGAAAAGGTTCGGTCCTATCCTTCAACACCTGTCTCTTATACACATCTAGATGTGTATAAGAGACAGCCACCATACCATGCGTTAAGAAAAAAGCCGACTGGGCCATGAGATGGATCGAAAGCACGGACGCCAGCTTCGGCGAACGATTGGTCGCGTTTGCCGCCGTGGAGGGCGTGTTCTTTTCGGGTTCGTTCGCGGCCGTGTTCTGGCTGAAGAAACGCGGTCTGATGCCCGGTCTCACGTTCTCCAACGAGTTGATCAGTCGCGACGAGGGACTGCATTGCGATTTCGCGTGTTTGCTATTTCAACGTCATCTCCTCAACAGACCGTCGCCCGAACGCATAACGGATATCGTCGAAGAAGCGGTGACAATAGAGAAGGAGTTTATGACGGACGCGTTACCCGTCAGACTGATCGGCATGAATTCGGACAAGATTGCGCGTTACGTCGAATTGGTTGCCGACAGACTGTTGGTGGAGTTGGAATGCGAAAAACGATGGGGCTCCGATAACCCGTTCGACTTTATGGAGAATATATCGTTGCAGGGTAAAACTAACTTTTTCGAGAAACGCGTGAGTGAATACCGAAAGATGGGCGTTATGGACATGACGGAGAATCGAAAATTCAGTCTCGTCGAGGAATTCTGATACTACAATAACAATAACAACAAACCACCACCACCACCACCACCACCACACCCAGCAAGTTACGTTTATATAACGATGAAGTAACAGACACTATATAAAAGGATAGGACTTGCTAATTTGGGAGAACGAGAACGAATTTATTTACAACAAATAAAAAGAAACTAAAAAAAAAATATGTATATGCTATTGATTCTATTGTATTGTGTTTTTCGAACGAATTCAGCGTCTTTCGTTACACGAAGACTAGAGGAAACCGGGTTTTCAAGACGGAATTCGCGCACCCCTATCTCTTAACGTTGGGAATGAATCGACGAAGCATGGCTAGGCTTCGTGGGTGAGCTAGGTTCCGTGACTTTCGGACCTCGCAAAGTTCAAAAAATTTATTTTAACAAATTGATTTGAGATATGAAGACGACACTTTTTGGGGTCAGTGTTGAAGGATAGGACCCTTCGAAGCCAACCGAGAAACCCGAATTCCGCGTCTTTCGTTACACGAAGACGAGAGGAAACCGGGTTTTCGAGTCGGAATTCGAGCACCCGTAGTTGGGGAGGGATTCGATCGAACGAAGCCTAGGTGAGCTTCGTGGGTGAGCTAGGTTCCGTAACTTTTAGACCTCGCAAAGTTAAAAAAAAAAATTTACAAATTGATTTGAGATATGAGGACGACACTTTTTGGGACCAGTGTTGAAGGATAGGACACTGCTCACCTATCTCTTAACGTTATGAGATCGAACGAAGACAGGGTGGGCTTCGTGGGTAGGCTAGGTTCCGTGACTTTTGGACCTCGCAAAGTTCAAAAAATTTATTTTAACAAATTGATTTGAGATATGAGGACGACACTTTTTGGGGGTATGTGCTGAAGGATAGGACACAACTCACCTATCTCTTAACGTTATGAGATCGAACGAAGACAGGGTGGGCTTCGTGGGTGGGCTAGGTTCCGTGACTTTTGGACCTCGCAAAGTTCAAAAATTTTATTTTAACAATTTGATTTGAGATATGAGGACGACACTTTTTGGGGCCAGTGTTGAAGGATAGGACCCTTCGAAGCCAACCGAGAAACCCGAATTCCGCGTCTTTCGTTACACGAAGGCGAGAGGAAACCGGGTTTTCGAGACGGAATTCGCAAACGTTGGGAATGAACCCACGAAGCCCATCCGGGCTTCGTTCAATCGAATCTCAAATACGGATTCGAGACTAAATAATCATTTGACTAAAAAAAAAAAAAAAACAATTTTTACAGTTTATATATATATATTTTTTAATTTCAAAAATAAAAGTAATTAATTTAAAATTGCATAACGTGTTCAACGATACATCCTGTGCAGTCGTAATGTTTATTGGTGAATACAACAATTATATCTAGTTAGAATCATTGTTTATTTTTTGTTTATTATTTCGAACATTGGAAAATAAACGTTATTCACAGTTAAATAATATTGTGTCGAACTATTCTGTTTAACCGTTCTCTGCACTGCCGGCGAATTATAGCATACACCATTTCCTCGTGCGATTGTTTTCCCTTGTTTTGTTACTACCAGGTTTACACTTTGGCATGTTGACGGCTCGGTCGCAGTAAGGTAACTGACTGACTGGTGCTGGAATTATTTCCTAACTTTGTTCTCTGCCGAAACAAATATAAGACGTCATCGGTACTGGCCGTCTACGTCAGCGGTTCCGAACGAAGTTACGAAAAAAAGGAAACTGGAGATTCGAAGCACCAGCTGGGAAACGGAAAAGTAATTTTAAAAAAATGGCTTCGAAGGGTCCTATCCTTCAACACTGTCCCCAAAAAGTGTCGTCCTCATATCTCAAATCAATTTGTTAAAATAAATTTTTTGAACTTTGCGAGGTCCAAAAGTCACGGAACCTAGCCCACCCACGAAGCCCACCCTGTCTTCGTTCGATCGATTCCCTCCCCCAACGTTAGGAGATAGGGGTGCGTGAATTCCGTCTTAAAAACCCGGTTTCCTCTCGTCTTCGTGTAACGAAAGACGCGGAAATCGGGTTTTTCGGTTGGCTTCGCAGGGTCCTATCCTTCAACACTGGTCCCAAAAAGTGTCGTCATCATATCTCAAATCAATTTGTTAAAACTTTTTTTTTTAACTGCGAGGTCCAAAAGTCACGGAACCTAGCTCACCCACAAAGCTCATCCTGTCTTCGTTCGATCGATTCCATCCCCAACTTTAGGAGATAGGGGTGCGCGAATTCCGTCTTGAAAACCCGGTTTCCT